ATATAACATGTAGTTCTTAAATTATTAATTATCAATTTGATAATGCATTTCAAAGGGTCCAATAGAAGACCCTTTTCACTTTGGGCTAATGCTTTTCCAATTCAGACCACATCATTCCCTAGAGTATCATTTCTTTGTTTAATAGTTGCGTATAAGAACAGATGTAAATAGTTATTGAGAAAGTATCTTTTTTATATTTATATTTTATTTTTTATGTTTTACAACCACCACTCCCTGGCTCTTAAGTGAGGCTCCCTTCACATGTACTACCACTACGTTCTATGATTATTTTCAAYGTACAACACTCAACTCAGCCAGAGAACCCAGAGAAAACTCCCATGGCAAGGTAGAGGACAACACATCAAACAAACTCACATACTGTAATACAGCAACTGGCCCTCCAGGTTGGGGGTTGGGCAAAGGGCTAATAATTATTCTTCCCTTCCCTGTAAAACATTACAGAAACCAGAAACACACCTTCAAGGGTTTCAAGGCCCTATGCACAACTGAACACCTAGAGGTTAGGTGAAATGAGAGACTGAAGATGAATATAGTGTAGTTCCAGAAAAATACTATGCGTCCCCATGGAGGATTGTCAGAACTTCCAAAGGGAACCTTGGCCTAGGTGCTTGATGTAATCACATCGACTTGAACTTTAGTAGGAAGCACGGGTGGCGTGCTCTACTAATGTGCCATATTTCATCAATGTAACCCRGGTTTGAGCCCTGGCGGGCTTGGTGTCATATTATGTGAGTTGAGTTTTTTGATGGTTCTCTCCTACTGTGCTTCGATGGTTTTTCCTCTGCGTTCTCAGGTTTTTCCTTCCTTTGCAAAAATCAACTTCTAAAATCTATGCACTGCCTTATCAATTGGGTTTTTTGCAAAGACTGTTAGGCATTAAGCAGTCCACCCAGCTGCAGGAGTGGTAAAAAGCATTAGACTTAATATATTTAGTCAAGTCTTAATCCTTTCAGGCATCTGAAGTTGTCATTACAAACTCACCATGAACACAAAGTTAATATTCAGGCAGAGAGAAGAAACAGCGAGGAAAAGGTTTGTTTACACAAGATACCCATAATGTAAAACCAGATTTTATGTGATTCTATAATGGTGTGGCACTCGGCATAACACAAAATGAAATTCATGATTCATGCTTTTGAATTAAGAAAGTACTTGAAAAATGTGATGGTGATCGAGCTGTCAGTGGCCGATAAAGCACCTAGGGTGTAGGTAGGGTGTCAGTAGGGTGTTAGTAGGTTGTCAGTATTGTGTTGATAGTTTATCTGTAGGGTGCTGGTAGGTTGTTAGTTTTTTTATCTTTTTAAACTCCTGCCTGTCTAATTCTTGTCACATGAAACATCTGTATAGAGACTGCGTCTAAGCCTCTTTTAATTCACACACATTAACTTTAATATATAATACCTAATATGATACCTAAATCACTTGTTTTAGACATATGTTTTGTTTATCAATAATTATAATCCTGTGTTTATGTAACTCGTATATAATACTGTTCAGTAGTTAATTACGTGTTCATATTCATACATATCATTTTTGTTACAGGGCCTTCTTAATGTTACATCACCACATAATTATCCTGTGGTGAGTAATAATCAGAAATAACCATTGATAATTATTCCTAATGATGATGGTGATGATCCTTATAATAGTTAATAAAAACAAAAATATTTAATAATGAATTTATATTCAATAAATAAATATAATCTTAATAATATCATGATTACTAACGACAGTAATATTCAGTGAGATCAMTAATCATTGATGATGATTCCTTAAGTTATAATATTTGATGCTGTAAATATAATAGTCTCCTGTGTTGAGTAATAATCAGAAACAACCATTGATAATGATTCATTAAATTAGGATATTTTGTGCTGTAAATTTAATATTGTGTGGTTCTAGAAAATTTCATACTCATTCTGGTACCCAAAGCCTTCTTGGCTTTCTAATGAAAACTCAAAGGCTCTGGTACAGTAACACTCAAATCGACATAATCTTTCGCTGATTTTACAGTCAATGGTTGAATTTGGAATACTTTGCCGTACACATCAGAGGGTCTCGCTAAATTAATTGCTTATTTTGATTATAGATTACCGAGGTAATCATGATATTATTATTGAATTATGAAATGTATGTTTTTCTTAACAGTTGAGGTATTTTATGCACAGACATTTGAAGTATGTTTGGAATAATTCGACTGGTACCTTTGACCTTCTGAGGTATGTATACTTTCACAGCCTTACCTTCAACCCCATTTATTAGGCTGATCTACAGTATGTCTGAGCTGATCTGAGTCAGGATACGGATAACTTGCACAGATCAAACCCTGAAACGACCCCTGCAGTGATCTAAGACAAGGCACGACTAACTCACAGAGGAGCAAAGAACTAGTGAATGACTGACTGACTCACTGACTGACTCACCGACTCACTGACTCACACACTCACTGACTGACGAAAGAAAAAAACAAAGGAAGGAATAGGAGATCGTCGAGTTACAGTAAATCGCRCAGTCAAAAATAATAGAATTCAGCAAAAAGGGACAATTTTGATAATTTTTATTTTTCAGAGCATTGGATCAGAAGCTTACAATAAAAGATATATATGACCATGCATCAGGACTTACCACAAAGGAATCAATCAATAGGTTAGTCAGACAAAGAAGGTGTTTAGTATTTATACTTATTATTATAACAAAGTTAGTCACCAAAAACCTGCAAAGCTGAGATCACTGAGGGTCATAGCAAAACATTTCATATCAAACACGTAACGCCTTTGATACAAATTGCAGCTTGAAGATGCTCACAGGAAATGAAGCTATGAAACATGTAAAACGTATCTACCCATAATCCTTGCCGGTCTCAGCTTTTCAGATAGTTTTCCCAGTGAAATTAAAATCTTGTCTCACTAACATATACACATTTAAGACATTTTTTGGGCCCGCAGTAATTGGCTTAACGCTGTTGCGGTCACCCTGTCATATATATCACAGTATTTTTCAGTTGTTATATTTCCAGTTTAATATATGATATATATTTATAATATAATAAATATTTATAATAAATACATAAATAAATATCTGTTTTAAAGAGTACTACGAGGATTGAGAGGCAACAAATTCTTTTTCTTTTCGAAGAAAAGTAAAAATAGAAACAATTTATGATTAATTTTCTGCGATGATAGTTTTGGATTCTGAGATATTCTGAGTTTGGATATTCTAGCTAATTTGATGAGCTTGTTGGACATAGCAACAGTAACTAAGGGGAGTCGGAAAAAATGTCTTGCTTCCTGATTGGTTGAGATTAAAGCCATAAAAACATCATTTAATTGGATCTGTCTTCATAGGAAACATATATATGGAAACAATATGATAGACGTTRAAGTTAAATCGTATGGACGATTATTTTTAGAAGAGGTATGGTTTACACGGGTGAAAAACACACTGTTCATGCTCGGAAGTTTGGCGGGAAAATCCGCAGACGCGTCGAGCTCAAAAATAAAACCATTGGAGAATTTCTTACCGAAATTCCAAGCATGCGCAGTGCATTTTTCGCCCGAGTTCGGAATGGTTTACATTTCGTTCTAGATGAATATGCAATTACCTATCGACAGGCTACCGATTTGTTTCCGACACCTTACCGAACGAGGCACGTACCTGATTCAAAATCCTTTGAGATATAAATAATAATGAAACAGCGGCGATGTGGGTTGATCTAACAAGGGAAGCTGATGAGGAATGCTTTGTTATCGTCATCCAAGATGGTGGTTATGACGTAACATGCAAATGCTCTATTGATAATTATAAAATAACTGTYATAAATCTCATGTTCTGATTGGTTAGGAGTGCGTTCTTTATGAGCATACAGCACGCACGCCCAGTTTCAGTTGCGTCATTCTATCTAAAATAACGGTTATTGTAATTTGTATTTCATATAATGCTCGGCTGTGTGGAGTTATAAAGCACTTGGGGATTGACAGAACACTCGATAAAGTGTCTAGAAGCACTCCGCTACGCGTCATGCTTTTCCTAACACTTCTCTCGTGTTCTGTAAACCTCCGAGTGCGTTATAACTCCACATAGYACGCGCGCCTGTTTTGTATGTCTTTAGTATTCTTTAATTTCTTTTTTTTTTTTCCTTTTCTTTTTTTCTTCTAGGCTCTTGATCCCTTCTATGTGTTCCAGTTGGCTAGTGTTATACTTTGGATGTGTGACGATTACTATTACTACGCCTCAGCCATCATCATTATATCATTTGGATCCATTTGTATTAGTGTTCTTCAGACAAAGAAGGTACAATATAGTAGTTGGAGTTGAGTGGCTTGAAATTGTAATAGATTTGGAAGAAGAAAAAATGTAAGAGAAACGAGGGAAGGGATTTTACAATAACTTACAAAGTTCTCGCGCGCTGATTGGTTATTTTTTTATCATCAACAAGATCGAGGACAGACAGATAAAGCTGACGTCAACGAGCGCACGCTCTCTCCGTTGGTTGTTTTGATCGCTAAAAATGAGAAGTTTTTATCGTTTTTGTTATTGTAAAAAAACAAATAGACGTCAGTTTTTTATGTGTCTGTCCTCTGCTTATTGATGATAAATTTCGTCATCACATTGTCAAAGTAGTATGCGGATCCACTTGGCTACGCCTCGTGAATCCACACTACTTTGACAATATGATGATGCAATTTATCGTCAATAAGAGGACACATAAAAAACTGATGTCTATTTGTTAAATGGAAGTGAAGGGAAGGGAATGGAAGGGAAGGAAAGTGTTCATCAGACTAAGAAGGTAGTTGGAGTGGCTTAAAATTGTAGAAGATTTAAAAGAAGGAACAAACCAGTAGTGGAAAGAAAAGAAGCCAAAACTGTGAAGTGAAGTGAAAGGAAAGGGAATGGAAGGGAATGAAAAGAAGGTAAGGAAGAAAAAATAAACGAAAGAGAAGTGAGATGAAACAAAAAGAAAGAAAGGGGAATTGTGATTGAAAGAAAATAGTAAAAGAAAGGAAGGGTAGGAAAAGTAAATAGAAAAATAAGTAAAATGAATGGGAAATAAGATGAAGAAAATCAGGGAAAGGAAAAAAACAAAAGTGAGAAAAGAAAAAGGGAAATAGGTAAGGAAGCGAAGAAAGAATAATTAAAAAGGCAAGGAAAAGGAAGGAAAATAGAGCAAAATTTAATAAATAATAAATACAGGATATTACATGGGCACGCGGAGATACAAAATTTATCTTCGAGTGTTGCGCTCACTCGTGAGAGATTTTCAACATGAGAAGATCAATTTCGTATCTCCAAGCACCCATGTAATATTCTGTTTATGGATAATCATTTGATCAACAGTATTAGTAAATCAATATTTTTCCCTTCCAAACTTTTTTCYCTTTGAAGCATTTAATTAATCTAAGAAACATGGTGGCCAAATCAGACTTTGTAAAAGTTCTTCGTAACAATGGAGGTATGTTATTCTATTTTTTCTTCAAGAATAGCCAATGAATAGCCTATTTCACCTTCATGCATAGCCAACGAATAGCCTATACCCTCTTCATGAATAGCCAATGTGCACGAGCACAAATTTCTTGCAAAAAGCATYACCAAAACTTTGTCACATCTAGTTTCAGAAGATGTTTCATCAGAAGATTTAGTTCCCGGTGATGTCATAGTCATTCCACAACAGGGCACCGTTATGCACTGTGATGCAGCACTTATCAGTGGCAACTGTATAGTCAATGAAAGTATGTTAACAGGTATGTGAGGTTTCCTTATTTTTCAAAGACTTCTTCTCTCCCAAGCTTAGATGAATACTGCTAAACACTTGGTGTATTGGATTATACGACTGTATTTGGAGATGACAAGGCTGTAGTGCACTCACTCACCTCTCATCTCTGGGGTCTTATCCAGTATCACAAGTCACGTTAATAGAGTTTGTTAGGTCTCTCCTGTAAACAGTCTTCTCTAGTTTACCTCCCTCTGCAAAACCTATTGCTAAATAGGATCCTTGCATTATGGCGTYATTGACCTCTACTACCAGACTCCCTTGCACACTTTCTTTTGTTCAGTTAATTAGCACCAATTGTCTTACTATTCTCATGAGGGAATACAAATTTAAATAAGAAAGAAAATTTGCATTATKGTAGTTAGAGTCAAATGCTGTCACGCAAACTTCCTATTTCAATTCTATAAAATTGGTTGACCCCAGTGGTGGAAGGAGTGCGAAGCACTGATTRTGGTGAGCGATGAGTCAAGTCCTGCTGCACTAGATGTCGTATGTGAGTAGAGTTGCTCGTTRGTTCTCTCCTGTCCTTAGAGGTTTTTCCCCGGGTTTTGCAGTTTTCCTTCCTCCGTAAAAATCGACTCCTAAATCCCAATTGTTTTATAATATCGACGCCCTACTTTTCACGCAGGTGAAAGTGTTCCTGTCACAAAGACACCGTTGCCACAGGCTATRTCGTCAAAACATGATGTGCCGTCAGAAGAAAAAGATGAATTGTATAGTGTGGTAAAGCACAAGAGASAAACACTCTTTAATGGTACAAAAGTTATTCAAACTCGTTACTATGGTAAAGCTAAAGTCCTAGCAGTTGTCATTTGTACTGGTAAGTCTAGCTATCATTCTTTCTCGTCCGTTCTAGTGTAGTGTCGTGTCATCTCGTGTCGTGTCGTCCCATGTCATGTCGTGTCTTGTCATTTGGTGTCGTCTCGTGTCATGTGTCATTGTATCTCGTGTTGTGTTGTGTCGTATTATCTCGTGTCGTGTCGTGTCATCTCGCGTTGTCTCGTGTTGTATCGTKTCATCTTGTCGTGTGGCATCGTGTCATCTCGTTGGGTTGCGTCATCTTGTGTTGTCACGTGTCATCTAATGTGTCCTTGTCTCCGAACTTACCTTTCGTCCCGTCCCGTCCCGTCCCGTTCCTTCTCCTTTCATTTTCTTGTCATTCTATTCTTTATTTTCCCCTTCCATTTCYATTTTTCCATTTCCTTCATTAGATATTTATCTTTCCTCTCTCCTCTCCTCAATCTTCTTGTGTCCTCTCCTCTCCTCTYCTCACTCGCCTCYCCTCTTGTCTCATGTCCTCTCCTCTCTTCTTGTGTCGTTGTCCCGTCACGTCCCGTCACATCTCTTTTCTTTTCATTTTCTTGTCATTAATTTCTTTATTTTCCCCTTCCATTTCCATTTTTCCAATTCCTTCATTAGATATTTCTCTCGCACTTCTCATACCAAGGMCTGTCTCATCCCCTCTTCGCAAGTGTATTACATTAAAAAAAATTTYTGTCTTTTATATCTCTTCATCCTTTWTAGGTTTTTAYACAACAAAAGGAGGTCTCATTCGCTCCATTCTCAACCCTCGTCCAGTTGGCTTCAAATTCTTTCGTGATTCCATGCGTTTCATCGGGTTCATGGCCTTCCTCGGTACGTATTTCAAATCAAATATTCTAGTTCGTCCACTCTTTTTGTGAAGATTGACCCTTCGATAATAGATCGTTAATAAAAAATGAGGACTTAGTCCCCGTTCGTGCGCATACCGATTTTAAGCAATCCCATTCCTGGGTACCGAAGGCTTGAACGATGAACAAGAGTTCCATTATTCGGGTATTCATGTGTCTAG